CAACCTCATCGTTGTGTACTCGTAGAAAGGTTAGAAAATGACCTTCCATGGAAAGTGGCTCGAGCCTTGGTCAGAACCACTAACATCTCAGGAGTACGTGTGCTGAACCTTTGTGGCCAGGAACAGATTATAGAAAAAGGCACATTGGTTGCTACTTGTGAGAAGTGGATTGGTTACGTCGGTGCCAATATCTATCGACTGGGACCCCCAGCAAAGATGCACAAACGAGAGTGAGCACACTTTTAGAAGACTGTCGCAGCGTTCTCTCCCCGAATGAAATGGTCAAAGCGAAGAAGTTGTTACTCAAGTATGCCGATGTATTCTCATCAAACGATGCTGACATAGGAAAGACTGGCTTAGTTCAACACAAAATAAACACAGGTGAAGAATTGCCTATCCGTCAGCGGCCAAGAAGATTGCCGGTAGCACGTGAAAAGGAAGTGGAAACCATGATTGAGGGAATGGTGAAGGATGGTGTTATTGAACCTTCATCTAGTCCATTTACCGTGGTACTGGTAAAGTAGAAGGATGGCAGCATGCAGTTTTGTGTTGATTACCGCCGTCTGAATGACGTTACTAAGAAGGACAGCTATCCCTTGCCAAGGATTGACGACACGCTGGACATGCTTACAGGAGTAAAGTGGTTTAGCACGCTGGATCTAAAAAGTGGCTACTAGCAAGTTGAAATTGACCCTAAGGACAAGGAGAAAACTGCGTTCTCGACGGGAAAGGGTCTGTGGTAATTTAAAGTGATGCCGTTTGGGTTGTGCAATGCTCCAGCAACGTTTGAAAGGCTGATGGAACTTGTACTTACCGGGCTAATTGGCGATGCCTGTCTGGTCTACTTGGATGACATCATCATCGTGGGCCGTACGTTTGAGGAACACCTTAAAAAACCTGGAACGCGTGCTCATGAAGATTCAGAGTGCCAATCTCAAGTTGAGTCCGAAGAAATCTTCACTATTCAAACGGCAAGTCAACTTTTTGGGGTATGTAGTGTCGGAAGAAGGTATCCGCACGGTTTCAGAGAAGATCTCAGCTGTAAAGGATTGGCCGGTTCCAAAAGTCAAGACGCAGGTTAGAGCATTTTTGGGTTTGTGCTCCTATTACCGGCGATTTGTGAAGAACTTTGCAGATATAGCCAAACCTCTGCATAAGCTAACCGAGGTGAAGCGACATTTCTGCTGGGATGAAAGTTGCAATATCGCATTCCAGGAGCTCAAGGACCGTTTGTGCAAAACACCTATTTTGGGATACCCTGATGCAAGCAAAGAATTTATAGTTGACACAGACGCAAGTGATATATGACTTGGCGGTGTGTTGTCTCAACGGAATGGTGATCAAACGGAATGGAGAGGTCGTGATAGCGTACTTCAGCAAGTCGTTGTCAAAACCGGAAAGGAACTATTGTGTCACAAGACGCGAATTGCTAGCTGTGGTAAAGTCGTTGCAGCATTTTAGCAAATATCTTCTGGGACGAAAATTTCGCTTAAGAACTGACCATGCTGCACTAAAATGGCTATTGCAGTTTAAAAATCCAGAAGGACAAGTTGCGAGGTGGATTGAACTACTGCAAGAATACGACTTTGAGATCGAACATCGCAGCGGGAAATCTCATGGCAACGCCGATGCATTGTCACGAAGACCTTGTCCTGAAGATTGCAAACATTGTACTAGGCAGGAGAGTAAGGAAGTGGTATCCGTGAGGATGCTCATGGCAGACCACCTCAGCAACGAGTGGAAGGACAGCTTACAACGTGCACAGCAGGAAGATCCGGACATCAAGCCGATCCTGGAATGGATGAAGGCCAGTGCTCTCAAGCCCAAGTGGAGCGACGTCTCAGCGATGAGTTCGACCACTAAAAGCTATTGGGCCCAGTGGGACAGCTTGCTGCTTCAGGATGGAGTTCTGTGCCGTAAATGGGAAAATGTTCGGGGGAGACAGCTGTCATTTACAAATGGTTGTCCCTAAAGCTAAAGTACCGGATGTTCTACAGCTGTACCATAATGATTATTCAGGAGGCCATCTTGGAGTTAAACGAACTCTACTGAAGATCCGAGAACGGTTTTACTGGGTCCACTGTCGAAACGATGTCGAGGACTGGTGTCGCAAATGTACAAGTTGTGCGGCTGTAAAGGGACCTCAGACTCGTAGTAGAGGTGCATTGAAGTTGTACAATGTTGGTGCACCATGGGAGAGAATAGCCATTGACGTGGCGGGGCCGTTTCCGGAGAGTAAAAGCGGTAACAAGTATTTCATGGTTGTGATGGATTACTTCACTAAGTGGCCAGAAGTCTTCGCCATTCCAAATCAAGAAGCTTCAACAGTTGCAGATAAACTAGTTCATGAAGTCTTCTGTCGTTTTGGAGTACCTTTAGAGATTCACAGCGATCAAGGAAGGAATTTTGAATCTCAAATATTCCAGGAAACTTGCCAAGTTATGGGTACTCATAAAACAAGAACGACTTCTTATCACCCGCAATCTGATGGAATGGTAGAACGATTTAATCAGACATTGGAGAGGTACCTAGCAAAAGTTGTAGACAACCGGCAACGAGATTGGGACAAGCACATACTACCGTTTTTGTTGTCATATCGAAGCGCTGTTCACGAAAGTACAGCAGTGACACCAGCTTTCGCAAACTTTGGAAGAGAATTACGGCTGCTTGCTGACTTGATCATCGGGATACCACCTGATGCTCCACGTAGTATAACCGATTATGCAAATGACATGCGGAACAAAATGAATGACGTTTATGAGTACGTCAGACAATCGGGCCAGCAAATGTCTGAAAAGATGAAAACCCGGTACGACCGCAAAATGAACAACAAAGGGTTCGACGAAGGTTCACTAGTGTGGTTGCATAATCCCGTCCGCAGCAAAGGGAAATCTCCTAAGCTTCAAGCTAAATGGGACGGCCCGTACCGATTGTGACCAGGATCAACGATGTAACCTACCGGATACAGAAAGGCGCAAGAGGGACTCCTAAGATCGTCCATGTGGATCGCCTGGCGCGTTATTATGGGGTCGATAATGCTCGGGACGAGCATGTCTTAGTAAGGGGCAGTGTTACGCGCTCAAGTCGACGGCACTAGCGCCATCTAGTCTCGAACCGAAGAACTAAACTTCTTGAAGTTGAAACACGAACTCTCGGTACCTTGCGCGTGTTTACTTGAATATTCTGGATATTTCGCTGCTAATTTATATAAATAGGCGCTGCAAGATGCGATCGGGGAGGATTGAAGTTGGCGAGACAAGCGAAGCTTCGGAGCGGAATAAAGTGAATCAGTGTGATTAATTATTAGTGTTTTTAACTTTAATTAGTGTAAAGTGAATTAAAGTGTTAATTTAGGTAATTCTATCGGCAATTTTTATTGTCACGAACCTCAAGCTCGTAAAACTTTTAATAAAAATTGAATCATTTTGGTTGAAAATTATTCTAAATTATTAAAATTTAAAATTCAGTTGCGTGCATGTTACGTTTTATTCATAATATAAAAAATCCAAATAATCGTGTTTCTGGTAGATTAACCGTCGAGGAACAAAATAATTCATTTTATCACTTGTGACGTTTAGCTCAACAGCAGTCATTTTCTATAGAGTATAATTTGTTGGCAAACAGAAAACCTATCAGTACAAAATGTAATATTTTATCGTTATCACCATTTTTCGATGACAAGTTTAACGTGACTATAGTGGGTGGCTGCTTAGATGCTTCAGAATAGAATAGAATAGAATAATTTTTTATTCAATATAGATTACAAGTAATTCTTATTGAAAGTCAATATTTTACGTTACCACAGGTTCGAAAGAAAAACCTCTATCCTGGGAAGAATCAGCAAGAAACCCAGCGGGACTTTTTTTAAATAAATTTTACAATGTCAAGGTCAGGTCACAAAATATTTACAAAATTTGTTTTAGAAACAGCTTGGAAGCGACCACCTCATTCCCAGTGGTTATAATCAACCATGTATTCATTTATATCATAATAACCCTTTTTATAAGGTTTTTGTTTAATTAAATATTAAAACTTGGTAATAGAGAGACCTTGTATATTTTTGGGACTTTGTTGTAACAGCGTATACGTTGCCCCAAGAACGAATTACTGACTCTATGGAGTCGAGAAACTGGTAGCACCAGCTTGTGTTTGTTCGTAGTTTACAGAGTGTATGTCACTTTTTTTTACTAAAACGACCTTTGTTTTTGTGAACATACGTCAAATTTTCATAGATACATTGAGAGGCCGAAGGTTAAATTTTTCTCTAAGACTCTCTCGGTTTAAGGTTGTAAATAGCTCTAATAGCCTATTCTGCAAAACAAAAATAGTTTATAAGTCAGCCGCATTCCCCCATAACAAAATCCCATATGACATTATGCTATGGAAATAACTGAAATAAACTAATCTAGCTGTCTCGACACTAGTGAGATCTCTAATCTTTTTACAGCATAAGCTGCAGAGCTTAGTCTGCTTGCTAGTTTAGATATATGGGAATACACTGAGGCTTAGTGTCGAGAGTGATGCCAAGAAAAACAGAGGACTCAACAGGACTTAGTTCTTCCCCATTTGAAAACACATTGGTATTCGGATTATTAACATTTGTTGTTGTAAATTTAATACATTTAGTTTTATTGCCGTTTAAATGTAGATTATTAACGTTAAACCAATGCACTACTTTCGATATAGCATTATTCACTTCGTAACATTTAAATGATTGACGTTTAAGGTTAGAAATCAAGGAAGTATCATCAGCAAATAATACTATATCGTGATTATCCCCTACAAAGGAGGATAAGTCATTAATATACACTAAAATAGGAATGGGCCGAGAATTGACGCCTGAGGGTCACCCATCTCTAGGGGTCATCCGGAATCCGGATCAAAATTTGCCTACGATAAATAACACTGTTCTCACGCACGCATCACATCACTTGACTAAATTAATTTTCGAATAATAAATACAATTTGGTTTCACCCTTTGTCTACAATTTTTTTTTAAAATGGTTTGTATATTTATGCGTCTTGAGATAATATCATCATTAATTTTTCACTGGTACGTGTCGTCAAAATTTCTCATAAACTTTGTAGTGTGACGCATTAGCAAATCGTAAAGAATTTAAAATTTAGAAGACTAAACAGTATGGGCATAAATAAATGGGCTCTCTTTTTCAATAAAAAAAAACAACAACTAAAGGCTTTACTATAGGTACTTCTAATACCACAACAATTTTATTTTTACACCTTGGTTTAAATCTGAAAGTAAAACAATACGATTTAAATTTATAAAAATGTTGTAAGTTTTAGTATACAAAATGGTGGGCATAATAACCAGTAATTGTTTTTATCAATATGACAGAAAAATCGTTTGTTAAAAAATGCAACGGCAGCATGTTTTACCAAACCAGTGGTAATTAAACAAAAGAGTTACAATAAGTATTATTTTATAATCTATATTGAATAAATAAGTTTCTTTACTTAATGTAGGTACTCATGTCTTGTATTAGACCTAAATGCAAGCAAGGAGTCTGAGTACATATTTAATATATTTGCCGGTTCACAATTTAGATAAAAAAAGGTGAGCGCGATGTTTTTTGTGTGTTGAGGGCAAAAAATTACACTTGACGTAATGCCTTAAAGAGTAAAACTATGTCGAAAAGTGAGCCTGATGTATTGCTCAATAAAAGCGTTAGGCGCAGGCATCCCCCCCCCGTTGAAAGGTAATGACTTTCAAACTCCTAATCCTTGAAGTCTTCTGCAGTGGGTAGAGTCATATGTGCATAGAGCATAGACGAACGTCGGGGCGGCGAACACATCCCTCGATGGTATTGATATCGGCTCCTCGGGGCACGCCATCTTTACCAGGAAATAATTTTGGTACGCGCCTATTACATATTATACATATTACCTTTAGATACGTTACCCACTCACAGTATTGGCAATATGTATAAAGGTCGGGCAAATATCCGAGTTTCAGTCACGCATCCAATGGCGCGGCTATGTGTTGCTATGACTCGTAATTCTTACTAATATTAATGAATTACGCAAGCAATAATGTATATAATAATGTCCATGTTTAAAGTGTCTATTTAAAATAGGTCGTTGGTAGCATCGAAAAAAATGACGTAATAATTTTTAGGTTATTTTCGATTTTATAAAATAACTTCAAAACCCGCGTTTTATTTTCAAAAAGGCCTTTTGTAGGAGTTAATAGGATCAGTGTAGTCTATAAAAAACAAAGTTTGATTCTGAAGCAACATGGTACGATATTAAATACATCTATGGGCATTCTCCTTCCAGAAATATTTTATGGCTTTCGATAAACGCTGGCATAACCATCCCGTTTACGCCAGCGTAAAATACCCAGACCGGTGATGGTCAGCAGACTTAAGATTACTTCAACAAATAAGACAAATCATCACGAGAACAGGAGAGGCTCATGGCCAGAGGTGGAATTTTACGTGCTGATGATGAAGAAGAAGGAAGGTAGGTAGGAATTCAACAAAATGGAGAATACTGGAGACATACGTGTCTATGGATGTACAGAGTATTAACATACTGAAAATTAACATAATAATGTGTAATAACACAGTTTATAAAAAAGAGAAAAATATTTATTCTATTAATGTGACTTTTTATAATAGAATAAGGGTGACGCGAGCACACAGCCCACCTGTATGTTATGCCCAATGTATGTTGTAGCCATAGACATATACATCTATTCTCAATTAAGGATCAAAATATAAACCCTAGATCCTCATATCTGGCTCTCCGGTTCTCTACTGTCATCATACGAAACGCAGCAGCACTGGGCTGCTATTTTACTTCAGTATTCTATGCGAGCGTGGTCCCATACTGGTTGAGCCGACCCATTCAAGCTAAAACTATAATATTAAAGCTTCAACGTGGTTCTATCACGTTAAAATTACCTTTTTCATCAAGCATGGCAGGCTGAGTGACGATGTTCCCCAATCAAGCCTCCCTATTCGTGCTAATACCGTAATATAGCTGCAACATAGCTTACACGAAAAAAACGTCCTACCGTGTTACTGGTATTTTTTATCCCCATAGAACGTAATAAATAGTAACTATAATTCAAAAAGGTCGCTGTTTTATACCACGTTTCTATTCCTCAGCTACATAAATTTCAAATTTGTAACTCATCAGAAAGTTAGACTGAATATTAGATTGTTAAATTTGTACCGCATAGTCAAACAAACAAACAGACAGACAAGAATCCAGTTCTGAGCTATGTTAAAAGTTTAAAATCTCTAGCTCATCGGTAAAAAGAATAATATTATCATAATTTTATACGTCTCTAACTCAACACGTTGACGGTACCTATAATAAATTGATTTATATCACTTGTGGGAACAATGATCATTGTGAAACGTCCCTAACTCATATAGACGTCTCTTATTAATATTATCTTAGTTATACTGAAATAATGGCAATTCTCAAACAGTCAGTTATGTACTTATTGTTTTATATCAATAAATGCTTTGTAATTCACGGTTCACTGTAGACCGAGGCATATCTCGGCGGTCAACGTCAGACAATAGGCCTTAATTTTGAGTTACGCAAGAGGGAATATCAACACGACGTTCTGTTGTTTATCTAATCTTTCTTCTTTATCTCCTTCATTACACCGAAAAATTCCACTACTAGACATGTGCCTCCCCGTTGTAATGTCCTCTAGATCGAATTTCGGTCAAGCGGTCTCAACGGTGGCAATCCATCCGCGCAGGACAGGATTATAATCCGATGAGACGATAATCCGACACGAACGAGGAAGGATCAGGCGCAGGACTTAAGGGTTTATGTACTTTCCGAGGCACGAGGGTGAGACACCGCCAACTTTCCGACTCCGGGTTACTACTTCAGTTTAATTTAACCCGACCACTGTTACGAACACCAAACTGACGATGCAGTCAACCTCCCACATTGTAGGCAGGATTTGGCTTTGTCACGTTTGATCGTTTCGTTTCGATCGATAGTTTTTTGATCGCAATGTCAAATCATACCTTTGATGTTGCTTACAATCGCCGGTGAGGGTAATTTGAGCCTGACGTAAACGAGTATTATTAATTTTAATAGAAGAGGGGACAAACAAGCAGGCGGTCGACCTATGGTAAATGACTTCCTCGTGGCGCGTCTCGCTCGTGTGTTGCTGACTCCACAAAGAATATATGAGGAAAAAAATTTCTAGAAGAATAATAATATAATTTGATAATTTGCCGGGGTCCGTCAATCTGTCCGATTATAATCTGGGCGCATTTAAGGCAAGAGTGAATAGGATTGACCATCTAGGGCTTCATCACCAATTACCAACAGGTGGGATTGCGGTCAAGCACTGGGTAGATTATAATAAAAAAAATATATATAGAAAAAAATTGCACAGTGGCGAATTCTATCGCGAATTATATCGCAATGTGCTTTGTTGAAATTTGGCGGCTGGAATTAATCCAAACAATTCCTCTGACCACTCTCCGTAGTATATGCGAATAAAACTGCGAAAGGATGCAACAAAAATATATCACCATCTACCGGAAGTCGCCTACCGTTATACCCACGGGACTAAATATAGTGATAGATGTCAGTATCAGTATACAGCACTCAATTTCCATTTTGAAGTAAAGTAACACACAAGCAATAATTTAATCAGTATACAGATAAACTTTGTTCACTTAGCTTATAGATTAAAGTAACAGAAAAATGAATGGAGATTTCAGTGTTTTTTAACAATAGTAACGTATCAAGTATTATCATTAATCTTTGTTTTTTAACTTTTAACTAACCACAATCATATTTTAATATCTTTGTTAAGATAATATTATATTAAGATCGATAGCTACGCTAGATTCCGAGTGATGGCGCTATAGTTAAGTTATTAAAAATGTATAAATGTATAGATGAAATGACTATCACAATGAATTTATAATAGGTGTTGTGAACGGGAAATCACAAAATCTGGAGCGGAGTATCACGCATGTGAGAATCATGCGCGGCAGACCTATATCTCCATAGATTTTCTCTTAGAGGGGATATTTGCAATAGTTGCCACGTTTGGCACGCAGGTTGGCAACTGCAGTTTTTTGATTATTTTGTGTTGTTATCGGAAATATGCTGATGCCCACATCCAGTTTCATTTCCTTTTGTCGCTTCTAACGACACCTACATAATGATATTGTGTAGTAGAAATACTTACGTGTACACGTACACTAAAAATAAATACATACTTAAGTATACTAGAAATGAAAACCCCGTTTGGAAAATTGGGTTAAATAATTTTAACCTGTACCTACCTACGTTTAACTCACGTTAAGTCCCCATTTTTTTATTAACGTTTATCCCTTGCAATACGACTTGATCGTCGCTCTTTATATTATTTAATTACAGAAACTGTTTAACAAAATCTAAAGTACAACAAACAAATGTGATAAAGTCACGTTGCAGCTATATTGTGGTTGAGCAGGAATAAGTCGGCTTGGTCGATAAAGGACAACACGCTCACAGAATAGCAGCGTAAAATAGAAATTATGTAAGTAGTTTTAGTTAGAATAACTAATAACACATAAAACTAATAATTAACGCTGCTGTGTCTCTGATGAAAAAAAAATTTAAGTAGAAGAATGCGGGTTAAGGATGGGTGAGGTAACCGTCAAATGCCTTTTGTACGCCCATGATCAAGTTATATTTGCATCGTCGGCGGCCGAGTTGCAAATGATGGTTACATTAATTAACAGGTCGTTAAAAGAAAGGGGAATGAAAGTGAACGCAAGTATGACGAAAGTTATGGTTTTTGAAAGAGAAGAAAGTAAAACGGCATGTGAAATAAGAATAGAAGGAGAGTTGGTCGAGCAAGTAGATGAGTATGTTGAAAAAAAATTTGTAATGTTATCTTCTCATTATAACTATCTAATTCCTGTCGTGATCTGTTCTTCTATGCATATAACTTAAACAAAATAATTTCGAGGTTTCACATCTGCCAGGCGTCCCTTTTTAATTTTCTACATAGTTTGTTTGTACTTTGTTCATGCTTTTCTTTTATTCATGAATTGTATTATATGTAAATATCTTTTTCTTTCGCACAACCAAACCCAAACGACTTTTTTCAAAGCCACTGAAGGTATGAAATTGCTAATATGTCATACAATCTATCTAGCAGTAGTATACCTTCTGCGTAATTTGTTAAACACGCCCTTGACAGCACCTAATATCAAACTGAAGAGTGGAGACAGATCAAGATTGGTGAATTTTTATAAAACTGCTAAAAACAACAAAACCATATCTTGGGCTTGCCCTAGTTTGGACACTTAGCTTCGCGAATGTGCAGGTTGTGCCATCTGGAGAAACAAGGTTCTATTTGGGTCAGATGACGTTGGCTGATTTGAATCATATGATTAATTTGCATTAGTTTCATCAGTTCGAGGATTTGTCATTGTTGTCAATATTCCCCTACCAGGGGATGACCGGACTCAGTGGCGAATACCTCGAGCTCGTGCTCAGCTTTGACTACAATCTTAATTTTGTGGCTCAAACTCGTTGCTCCTAAAATACAAAAGAAACTAGGTAGGTATTGAAATCACTACAAATATTGCACATTATAGTGTTACGGAGAGGTAAAAAATAGTTACCTGGTGGTATTTCTGTTTGAGTAGTATTTTCTTCAGTTTCGTCACATGGAGAACTGGAAGTACTTTCCAATACATAATCATAGTCAGAGTATTTCAACGGTTCATCATCCGGTTCATCCTCAAAAATATCATTCAATCAAGACACAATTTTGTGCAGTTTCATGATTTTGCTATGTTGACTAGACATATCTATAGCACTTAAGATGCGCCTTAGAAAAGCAATTGCGTACGCTTCTTACAAACAGCGATGGATAAACGACCATTAGAAACAATGTTCAATCATTTTTTATCTTACAGATCACTCCTCCACTCACGCAACTCCCTGGAGCGCAAACAATACATAAAATTATTCTTTAAACATCGACGAAACAAAAATTAACCAGCGGTAGTTCTACGCAAATAATTTTTTTTAAATATAATTTGCGGGTGAATCTTGAGAAGCTCAATTTACGTTGTCCGGAGAAAAAAGTACCCGTAGTATTAAAATTAGAAACCAAAATATTTTTTATGCTACTATAGTGTATGATATAACTGAAGCACGATATTTTTTGTGCATATTGATACCACTGGCGCGTCCGCTTCGCATTTCGCTAACAACTTATCAACAAAACACTTATGAACGGAAATAAAATAAATAATGCGATCTAATCGCTACCAGGTTTGTTATTGATATATAAAAATATACACCGTATGATTTGTACAGTGAATTTGTACACGGTGTATATAAAAATATACATCGTGTAATTATGTGACTAAGCAGTGATTCCCGTGGCGTGTCACTAAACTACGTACATCAGTGAAATGTTCTAGAGGAATGCCTCCGCGACTCCACGTCGTTGCGCGTCGCATGAGCGCTGCTACTAGCGCTTCGAACGTAGTTGCTTTCCGTATATATTACTCTACTCTATGGTAGCTGCGGAAGATTGCGCCGCTCGTTGGTCCAGGACTAAATTACGAAGGTAAAGATATGATTTCCCTAGTTTTGTTTCGCTAGGTAGGCTGACCACGTTTATAAATGTAGTCTGAGTTTAAGGATTTGTTGTTGAGTATTAATGGAACAGTTTTAATTACTATTATTTATTTATTTCATTGTTATTATTTAAAACGTATTGATTTTATCAAAATCGATAAAAACATCCTATTTTTTGATTCCATTGGCAATGATTCCCTTGGTATTTGCGCCAGTGTTATCAAAATTCACGATGAAAAATCAAAACTTTTCTAGTTTTCTATGAAAAAAAGAAAGTTTTCGTATTTTTTCTTACACATATATTTATTCTTCATATCGGGTGATATGCAGTTTCGTGGTCACATGGAAGGGAAGGACAAATCAGCCCCTAAAACGCTTGGCGTTGTCAACAGAGCAGGACAGTATCTCATGCCGGCACACCACCTGCAACTTTTTCTTTCAGCCGCACATTGAATACTGTTCCCGTCTCTGGGCTGGGGCTTCCTTCCATTTGATCGCATTCAGCGCAGAGCCGTTCGAATCGTTGGCGACCGAGCTTTTTCCGATCGGCTTGACTGACTGGCTCTGCGAAGAGACGTTGTATCTCTTATCGTATATTATCGCAACTACCACGGGAAGTGCTCTGAGGAAATGTTCGCATTAATCAAAATTCGTGAACGCACATCGAGGCAAAACTCCCGATATCATCCTTACCATCTGAATGACTGGCGGTACAACACTGTGCGATTTAAAAGAAGTTTCTTCCCCGTACAACTTCCTTGTGGAATCGACTACCACTAAAGATTTTTCTGGACCGATACGACTTAGGGATCTTCAAGAAAAGAGCCTACTTCATTTTTTAAAAAGCTGGCAACGCATCTCTAATTCACCTGGTGTTACAGTTGTTCATGGGCGGCGGTAATCACTTAACATCAGGTGAGCTGTATGATCGTTTGCCCCCACTCCTATAAAAAAATTATCCGTCTTATTATTAATTCACGCGACTTGCCTGCGTGATATTTGAAAACTACAAATTTTATCAATATGCACAATTTATACGAATATTTATGTCCTTGTGCGTCTCGCAAACAAAGCCCAAAAAGTGCCAATATCTGCAACCAAAAGACTATATACAGGTATATACCTACGGTCAAATTATAATAAACCTTGATTTTCTTATATATCTTGTTAATTTTGATTCCCTTGTCGTCTTTTTTTGATTCCCCAGGCCAATTTTTTTAATAAAATGATATATTTTGGGAACCATCCGACCAAAAGTGATGCCTGTTCATTAAATGTGTTTAAAATTAAGTTAAATTTTATGTTACATTGTTACTTATAAAAAATCTATATAAATAAATTTCGCCAAGGGAATCTAAATATGCCGAATCCTTGCCTAGAAGTTTTCACAGCCCTTCGAAGTCATACAATTGAAAAAAATTTAGATTAGTCCATTACATAAAATAAATAAAAGTCAAAAAGTTTCATCGACCTAAGTAGAAATATAAAAAAGTTTGAGACGATCAAACTTACGGGTGGTGCAAAAATGGGACGGCGGTGCTTCTAAAAAAAGCAAGCAAAATGAAAATTTAAATAATATAATAATAAATGACAATAAAAAGTAAGCAAATATTTTAGTGTGAAGGCGACTCCGCCGGTTTTTAAAATAACAAAAGCGATCTTGAACTAATACCTATTTATATTTGCATCTAATTACTTACCCGTATTCATTGCGGGACCACAGAGGAAATCGGTAAGTTCATATTTTTTTATAGAAGTAAGGATAAAAAACGAGTACCACCTAAAACGCAGGCCACCTAATGGTAAGTCAATACTGTGGCACATAGACACCGACTTTATTATAATTGACTAAGAATCAAAATTCAGTTGCATTGTTGCCACTAAATACTGAGATGGAATGCCTCTTTACTCGTTAAAAGGATGTCCGTTTCAATCAAATCAAAAAATACAAGTTTTTTCTTTTCTAAAGACATAACAAACACTCACGCCTGTCGCCCAGAGGGGTAGGCATAGCGTTGCCAGGCGTCCTGATAAAGCCGGACACAATCAGGATTTTTCGTTGCGTTTCCGGTTAAATTAGACGGTGTCCGGCCTGTCCGGTTTTTGTTGAGCATTTTTATATTTGACCATTTTGTTTACATTTTTACGTACTTACATTCATACTATTGCAATTATTGAAAGATTAATAATAAAGAAGACTGATTTATTCAATTTTTTTGCTATTTCATTAGAATTGGCACGATCCTGTCACACCTCTCTCGCCTCCTTCACGTCCATATACCTAATATACCTACGCATACATGCTCGTCGGTTAAGGGTACTCCTAATTTGGCCCGTTTTCAATATATCGCCAATTTGGTCGTCAAACTTTCGCCTAGGACGTCCCTTTCCGACTCTGCCATTCACTTCTGCACCATAAATTTGCTTTGTCATTCTTTCCTCATTCATTCATTCTTTCCACTTGACCAAACCACTGAAGCATTCCTTTCTTAATCCTGGTCACAACATCATCTTACAAACCACACTCTTACTTTTTTCTAAATCCTCTCATATTCAAGTAGTCCAAGTATAGTACATACATAAGTACTTATAACTAATTATATACTATTATATATATTATATATATATATATATATTCGTGTGTGTGTGTGTGTGTGTGTGTGTGTGTGTGTCTGTGTGTGACTAACTAGCGCCGCGACTTCATCATAATTCATATTTTAATTTTTATTCGTGCGACCCTAATTGTTTTTCTGAAATAAGAGTAGCCTAAGTTACTTTTTATAACATCAGCTGTCTCTCAGTGAACGTCCGATCGGAATCGGCCTAGCCTTTTCGGAAATTAGCCGGAACAAACAGACAAAAATTTTAAAAACTGATTTTAGTTATAAGTACTTATGTATGTATTACGGTATTCTATGATAAGTACCGTATATACTTTCATAATTACGAGTATATTGGGTGTTTTTTAGCTGCATGAGAAATTTCGATGGTTTTTGTCTTTGACGATTGAGAATGTCAAACTGTGTTGAAATTTCTGTTCAATATTCTTGTCGTTCACCAGAACAACACTTACAAATTGTAGGAATTAACTTTAAAAAAAACTGTTCGCGAAGTACAAAAAGAAATCATATACTGCTGCTGCGAATTATTGAAGAAGACGACGAAAAGTTGACTTGTCGCCGCTCTCAACTTGTTGGTCTTTAATCTATAACTAAGTGGAAAATTTACGTAAGGTTCTCGGCTTACGTGCCTATAAAACACAGCTCATGCGAGAACAAATGATCATCGTTTACGTCGCATTTTCCTGATTGGGCTCATTTGAAACTGGCCAAAGATGAGCATTTTCATCGAAGAATTGTGTTTAATGAAGAAGTTCATTTCTAGTTAAATGGCTTCGTGAATAAGCAAAATTGACTTATATAGAGCGAAGATGCACATGCCAGTAACGAATCACATTACATCCATTAAAAGTGACTGGTGCGGTTAACACGTTGGCGGCATTATCAGTTCTTATTTCTTTCGAAATGGGGAAGAAGCTGCCGTTACTGTGAATGACGAGCGCTATCGACCCATGCCGACCCATTTTTTGTTTCCAAAAATTAATTAGCTAACCATCGATGACATTTTAACCCTTTAATCCCCATAAAAATCCTATGCAGTTGCATGCGTCTGGCATATCCCGAGCGGTCGCTGCGACCGCACCCACCCACAGCACTTTAAACCATTAAAATTTATATTTAGAGACTAATTTTCTATGAAGAAGTTTGGCATTATAAAATCTATACAAAATTCTCTATCCTGTGGTCCAAGCAAAAGTCAGGTTTTACTTCATTACAAAACTATTTTATTGTATTCTGATAACAAAAAAAAACCAAGCGGATCGACAGCGTGAAAATCAAAAATTATTTCTATATAAGTATATTATTCGAATTTATTTACGTAAAAAGATAAATTATACTCAAACAAAAACTATCATTACAATTTTATAATAAAACACTATACTACGAGTATAACACTAATAAAACATTAGAAAAATCCAAAAATCAACACAATAATATTCACACGAAAATGGCGTACGAAATGAACGTAGATTATAAATAAATATCCATAAACTGAATTTTTATTCCACTAGAGGATAAAACATTTCATACTGAAATGGCATTATATAATGCCGAACATCTTTATAGAAAATAGTTTCTAAACATAAGTATTGATGGGTTAAAGTGCTGTGGGTGGGTGCGGTCACATTTGACCTCTTAAATTTTGACAGAATATCGAAGTGGTCAAATTTGGACGCTTGCCATTTGAGAGGTTAATCATTAATTTATTACAAAATCAATTTGGTGACAACTTTATTTCCAAAAGTGGTCCTGTTAACTGACCCCCTCGTCCATTCGTACGACTTAACGCCTCTCGATTACTATTTATGGGGCTATGTTAAGTTATTGTTTTATGCCGACAAAACAGGCACTCTTGAATCACTGAAAGCCAATATTTAAGCCACCATTGACGCCATACGACTAGATTTGTTAAAAAAAAGTGAAAAACTGGACTGATCAAATGGATTATGTAACTCGTAGCCGCGGTAGACATATGCGGGAAATCATATTTAAATCATAAATGTCACGAAATTTACTACTAGATTATAATAATAAAAATATTAATTCAACAATATTTCTGTCCTTTATTATTATTTAAATTTCTTAAGCTCTTAAAAACCACCTACTACATTTAGAAATTTTAACATTACTAACAGACACTTTAATTTTATTTATTTGTATAGATAAACTAGCTACACTTTCTCGTAACATTGAGTATGCCAACTAAGTATCAAATTATTGTTCCCAGGTTATAATGAAGCTCTACATATTTTTGTCCTGTATCGTGCTCATACACGGAGCAGCAATAAGCGACGAAGAGTGCGATGGAGTTACAATCGACGGCATTTATTACGATAAGGAGGTTTTGAAGACAGATCTAGATCATCCATATTCTTTAGTCGTGGACTTCGACTCTAACGTTCTTTATTTCAGCCACAACCTTCACGAAACCGATAACATCTACAATACTGCCAAGATCAATCTTCATACAAAAGATTTCGCAGAACTGGACGGAGTGAAGAACGGCTTCGCGCAGACGGTAGATCAGATAAATCACGTACTTTACATCGGCAGCTCAAAAGGCATCTTCAAATATGATTACACAGATGATAATACAGCCAAACTATTCGCAGTAAACGACACAGATATATGGGACTTATACATAAATGATGTGTTGTACTATATTGAGTATCCTTCGCAATTTCTGTACACAGTGAAGAATGGTCAAACAGAACGTTTTAAAGATCTAGAAGAGATCAAAGTAGGACATTTCGCTATTGATGACGAAGAAGATATGTTTTACTCTAATGTAACCGGTCTGTACAGTCAGAAAAAAAATACAAAAGACTCAGTTCATTACAAAGATCTTAATGATGGGGACGATATTGTAGGAATAAGGACTGATGTGAATGGAAAGGTTTATATTTGTGGTACTGATGGAATATATAAGGTTAATAAAGATACAACCTCTGTGGAGAAAGTGGTTAACGCGGAAAATGTGTTTGGATGTGCTTTCGACGGTAACAATAATATTGTTTATGCTGACACTACATCGTTGATTCATCTCAAACCTAGCAATAATAAAAATTGTTAATCCAGTAATCGATTGAAATGTGAATTGTTTGTACTGTTTTTAACTATTTATAAAATAAAACTCGTTTTCCTTAATCGAATAAATTTAATTATTTAATTAATTACTTAATTAATTATTAGCGTACTGTGAAGCGGCAAATTTAATCGTCAACTCCATTATATTCCGAATATTTTGAAAGAAATTACTTAGTTTAATACTGCAAATATATGTCATACTAGCTTTTTACCCGCGGCTTCGCTCGTGAGGGTAGTTAGCAGTTAAAATATGAGTGGAGTCGGCGCGGATCTAATTTGGGTTACTTACGTATCTACTACACTTTTAAAATTATTATAGTTTTAACGCTTTTGACTGCCTTCTTGGTCTAACGGTTGTAAACGCAATTGCTGATCTTGTGGTCGCGGGTTCAAACTCGAGTCAGGCCAAAAATCATTTATTGGGTTTTTCTGTCACAAACTTCTCAGTAGCAGCCCGGAATATTGATTTCGAACTTATTGAAGTTGGCGGGATTTGGCGCAAAGCCGTTGGTCTTACGCCTGATCTCTCTCCCGTCGTCTTGGATTACCATTTACCATTCCATCGGACTATAAGAGTGAGGGAGTAGGATAGACCTGTGCCTTCGCATACACTTGGGCAATATAATCCTGTCCTGCGCAGATGGCTATTCTCCGTTGAGAATGGCCGCCGTTACCAAAAACAAACCGGAAAACTTTATTATAGTTTTAAAAATAAAACACATGGTTGTTTGAATCTTTCAATGATCAAAAGTGAGATTGAGAATTTAGAATCGTATAAAATCTGGCTGTTGGCTTTTTAATTTTTTCTGAACAGCAAATAAATACAAATTAGAAATAACTTATGTGATTTGATAATTTATTGTAGATTAATTAAAAATTGTCACTTCGTAACTGTAACTTCAAAAGTGTAGATTTTCAGAATAATCACCTAACTAGGCAGGCCATGTTGGCAAACCTAGTACGCGCAATGTCATAATGATGGCACGGGTGACAGTTTGCATGATGCTACGCTTTTATTTATCAAGCGGGACATTTTTACGTATTTTGGGGACAGCAGGACACAAACCTTTAAATCGGGACCGTTCCGCCTAAAGTGGGACGTATGGTCACGTTAGATATGAAGGAACTCGTATGTAATGGACGCCACACACGGTCCGTTCAAATCGAGTAATCATTTCAACTGATCAGTTCAAACTATAAATGTTGATATTCTTTAAAATACCGGATTTTCAATATTAAAAAGAAAGAAAGATTAATTATATGTATATATTCCTGAATAAAAGTAAATAAATAAAAAATAACTGTTATTGGTGACTAATCTTGCCGTTAAGGCAAGAGGTTATTTAATTATCAAAGTATGTAAATAAAGTAAAACTTTACTTTTATATGTGTATAATTACCATTTCATCCCAAGGATATTCTAAGAGTCGCCTCTTATTAAATATATACTATAGGTACTCATGGATGAGAAAAACGCCAGAAAGATATTATCATAGCATAAAAGACCCAGCCCGACTTGACGGTGAGCAGCATCAAAGATGCGAGATGTCTGGTATTGAGACTGGACTGTATTCGTGGTTTACCACGCTGCAGCTACATTATAACTGTGGGCTGTAGCACAAATGGGTCGGCTCGACCGGGGAAGGACCACACTCTCACAGAATGTCAGCGTAAAATAGCGGCTTAATGCTGCTGTGTTTCGCATGGTGAACGTAGAGATTCGGAGACCCTTTTTAATAGAATCGAAGCATTCCATCTTAGTCTTCAGAGGTGACAACGCATCTGCATTTTGATTCTTAATTTAGGTTAAGAGCGCATATTCAAATATGTCCAAGTCGAAATCTACGCGATCGCTTTGGATCGGCGTAATATTGACGCACACTACAATGTTATCTCTGTGTGCGTGTCAGTGTCAGTGCGAGCGTGAGGCTATAATAGTTGCCTAACGACGACTACGAATCCGTTTGATCTTTGATTATATACCTGTCTTTGATACTATTGGAACTAAAATAATAAAAAAATAATTTCCATATAATGGCTTATATAGTGTATAGAAATCGGAGGCTAATATGTGGAAATTGTTTTATTCTTTTAGTAAATTGAAGTCGGCTTTACATTTTCACCCTTTTGAGTATATTATAAAATGTATATGTTCTAATTGAAAAATATGTATTGTATAAAATATATATCATTTGATAAACTTTTATTCTGTTTCATTATGTAAACATAATTCATCAAACTAACAATGTCATTAGTTTCGGCGGGGATTAGTGTTGCCAGGTCTAGCAAATAAAATTTCGGGACGGAAGGTAAAAATAATCGGGGATTTGGTTTTCATATCCGAACAACTACATTGACTACAAAATATAGGTTCTTTGTAGCCTTTTTGTGATTTATTGAGAGCCGTGGTAGCTCAGATGGTCAACGCTAACTGTAAATATCACAGTATGCGAGTAATGCGACAAATTGTGACTGTAACTTTACTTTATTTTTGTGCTTTATAATTATTATTCGGGTCTGATCTCATAAACGAATAAGTTTTCATCCAAACATCGTAAAAACTGATTTTTTTTCATTTTAGGCAAATTAAAACATTTTTGAACTATTTTTTTTTTTTTGCAGTTCCTGAATTTTTCTTTAATGTGGTAGTAGCTAACAGATATAATCATTTTTGCTGTCAAAATTATGGATTAAAGTATAGAATAAGAAGATTAGTGAAAATCGGGACATTTGGCGTCCCGATCAAGGGTGAATCGGGACGTGTCACTAGACCCTTGAAAATCGGGACGTCCCGCGCAAATCGGGACACCTGGCAACACTAGCGGGGATCGAGCCCGGATTGTTCGCGTTTACGGCGAGCACTTACGCCCTTGAGCTACTCAACTCAAGCACGGCTCATATGTTTTATATCTGAGGGCACGGTAGTGCCCCGCCAAGTCGAGCAAAACATCAGCACCGCCGTATCATCATTGAGGGACTTGGTTATTTTACAAGTTATGATTTTGATGGCATGTCTTTGTTTATTCATAACGTTATCTGCACACTAGGAATTTTTCCTAAGTACATCGTTGGGGCAGTTTAAATACATTAATTTCACAAGGACAAACATCCAGACCTGGAACAATTATTTGTAGGTAATACAAATTTTTGTTACATGTGGGATTCGAACCTGCGGCGCTCAGCGCTACAACTCATTACCAAGTCACTCCGCCACGGAGCCAAAGGTGAAAGCCAACGATTTTGTATTTTTATTTGATCCAAATTGCTTACGTTCATTACTCATTTCTAAAAAAATATGTATGAAATGAAAATTTGCCACCATTACATCATTTAATATTTAAATATTACAATCATAAACATATTTCAAAATTACTTACTGCCAAAAATATCGCATATAAAAGTGTCAATCGTTTAAAATGCTCGATGGTGCTATAGGTATCTAGTTATATAATACGCGGCACGTAAGTTGAGCTATGACCTTGTATGCGCAATAACACATTTTCGGGTCTCAATCGAAGTGCGGTATGAGGTGCGCCGCGAGGGGCCACGCGTAACCATAGCAACGTGGCGGCGCTAGACCCCACTCAGTCGCACTCTGTCCTTCGCTACCCGCGCACTCACCGCGCGGCCCAGGAGTACAATCGCGTACGAAGTTTTCAACTCTTTGACATTTATAATTCTGTCGATTGCGTGATCATTTAATTTAATTTCAAAAAAGATGACTCGACCACAACCAACTTTAAGGAGACAGGGGAGAAGAATGATATTTGATGTTTATAATTATTTTTTAAAAAGGAAATAATGTAACTGATTCTCTGAATAAAACTGCGGAAGCTACGAAAAAGTCTGTATCCACAGTTAAAAGGATTGTTAAAGAAAGTAAAAGTTCAGAGTTTATAGTTACTTTTAGGACCCCTGGTAAAAAGAGGCAACGAATAAAGCCAGTCACAGGCGTAGACAATTTTGACAAGGGGGGTAATAAAACGGTGTATTCACAATTTTCATTTAACTGAAAACGAATTACCGACCCTTGGTAAACTTCGTGCAAAATTACGTGCCGATATAAAATTTGAAGGTTCTGAAAAAAGTCTTCGTCGCATTATTAAGGAACTTGGATTTAAATGGAAAGTCACCGAGAATAATAGGAAAGTTTTAATAGAAACATCTGCCATCAGACTGTTAAGAATAAATTATTTAGAAAAATTAAGACAGTATCGACAACAAAACAGACCAATGTCTGTTTTGTTGTCGATACTGTCTTAATTTTTCTACTTACTTTATATACTACTTACTTCTAATACTGTCTTTCATATCTGTCTGTGTATACAATTGTGTATACACAGATGAGTCATATGTTCACGCTACTCACACCACACCGAAAGGTTGGACAGATGGATCTAGTAAAGGAATAAAAAAACCCATATCAAAAGGGCAACGTGTTGTGATAGTACATGCCGGATCGGAGACTGGTTTTGTGCCTAACGCCTTGTTAACGTTCAAGTCAGGTATGAAGTCCGGGGACTATCACGACGATATGAATTTTGAGAATTATGAGAAGTGGATTCGAACTCAATTGATACCGAATCTTCCCCCAAATTCAATTATAGTTGCAGACAATGCATCATACTATAATAAGGAATATGACTTAGCACCAAACGCGAATTCAAGGAAAGCTGCAGCTGCAGGCTTGGCTTTCAGAAAAAAGGAATAACATTTACGTCTGAAATTTTGAAGCCTCAATTATACCTATTAATAAAAAATAACAGAGATCGCTTCAAAACATTTAGTATAGACGAGATTTTTAAAGACCATGGTCATAACGTACTTCGCCTGCCTCCCTACCACCCAGATCTGAACCCTATAGAAATGGCATGGGCAGCTATAAAGGGTTATGTAAGTAGCAAAAACGTACGATGGAATGTGCCCCGTGTTATAGAGTTAGTGAACGAAAAGGTAAATGCAATGGGACCATGTGATTGGAAAAAA